GCACGGACTTCAGATTACTGAGCTAAATCTCCCTTGTACTGCAGTCTCTCTTAATTACCTATCCATCTGATGGTTCTGTAGCAACCATGAGGTAACATTTATCGGCGAATATAATGAAAATATATAATAGCTTTTAATACTGTCTTATGTAGATTTTTCTCATAAATCCTATCTTTTATTGAAATGCTTTTTATTGTTTTATCTAGATTATTATATAAAGTACTTCGTATGCCATTAGCAAGGCTAACTGTTTTTTTCTTTACTATAATAATGAAGGTGGAATTGGCGTTCTATGATTATTATTTTTAAGAGAGTTTGTACCAGGAATTAAGAAGATGTAAATAATGACTATTTTGTCTGATGAGCCTTAAGTCTATTTCGGAAAAGAGATTTAGAGATTTATTTATTTTTGTATTTTATACTGTTGATGAATTCATTACTAGTCTTTCTCTAGATCAAAAGAAATTGTACTAGTTTTACTGAACTATGAAAAATATTCAGTCTTGATTTTCTCTATTTATGTAATTGACATATCTTCATGACTTTAAAATTGTTTGTTATCTCTATGCAATACTTTATTTTTTATATTTTTAATTATCTTGTGATAGATCCTTGACTAAATTATGTATGGCGTATCGTTAAAAATTATATTTTTACTTTTGTCTCTGGGCAAATAAAGGATACTCTCTCTCTCTCTCTCCCTCTCTCTCTCTCTCTCTCTCTCTCTCTCTCTCTCGCTCTGCAGAACAGTACTGCTAAAAGACGTAGTAAATATGTCGATGTATATGCATCCCACGTTATCACGGAATATCTTTACTTTCTTTACTATTCACCTTTATTTATGTTAGTGTAACTAAAATAATTCAATAAAAATAAAAATTGTTCTGTAAAAATTCAAGAAATAAGGTTAAAAATTCCTTTCTATTACATTATATTATATTATTGATAACACAACCCAACGTGAAACTTGCTCATTATATGAGACTAGTTATTTCCGGTAGATTTTAGGTTACTGAATTGAAATCTGACCGTAGAATACTCTATCAAATCAAGTTTTGTAAGTATCCCAATCTAAAAGTGCAAAAAATGCTGTTTTTCGCTGTTTTTGAGGTACAATAACATCTTGAATAATTTTTGTTGTTGGAAAATTGAGTATGCTATCTTAAAGGAGCATTTATATCCTCTAAAACCCTTTTTTTAAGTTTGAAATATCTTTTTTTCTGCCCAAAATATTGTCTTTTGAAGTTTACTTTTATAGCAATTTTGTTAAAGCCGGATAATGGATGATTCATATAAAAAATCGATATAACATATTTTATTGTCATTTGGATCACCCAATCGATACTAAATTATCAAAACAGCACCATAACCTCGGAATAACCTAGCCTAAAAATTCGAAAAAACCCTATTACGGACCTCCATGAGACATTTTTTCTACAGATATAAAGCTAGTGTGGATAATTGAAATAGTTTTTTTTATAGGACAAAACATTACTGAATACCTTTAAATACCTAATCTACATCCATGATACCGTAGGGATTAGAGCAGACGTTGGTTCAACGATGAATACTTTAACCGAAAGCGGTGCAAGAGACTCTTACAACCTAATTTCCTCAACCCTTGAGCCTACTAACCTGCTGATTTTCAACTCCCGATCCTCACGATAAGAAGAATACATCAATTAAGTTTTGCCTGTTGGAAAAAATTACAATCCGTGCAAAAGGTACAGTATGACTGAAAAAAATTGTACTAAAATCTAGTTACATTGTTTCTCAACAAAATTTTACATAATTTATATTCGGTAATGTTCATAGTGATGATAAGAAACCATTTATCAAATTTGTCGTTCGAAAAACTTTACGACCCATATAAGAGGGGTGAAAATGCAGTGAAAACACAATTTTTCACACAACACTTAATTTATAAACCCTAAACTCACCAAATCCCAAATGCACAACATTCAAACTATAAACAAACGTCGAACGTTTCTAGCAGAAACGTGTGTTAACCATGAGAAGGTATCGATTACTGAGTGCTCTTTTTTTTTTTTATTTTACAAGTATTATTATTTTTAATGTTTTAAACAATATACTGTTAGTATTACGTACAATTGTCGTAATTTTATTGTTCTTGAAAATACTTAAGTGAAAAGTTAGTATTTAAAAAAATCAGTATGTTGCATTTGATTGATCGAACTGCTTTATTAAACCTAATTTTATATACAGTGAGATAAGAGAATTTTTTTGCATCAACTAACGCTTTGTGAAGGATGTTCGTGGATCCGGGTATCAGATTCTTCCTACTAGGCCAGTTCTTTTTTACTCAGTACTCCTTATCAGCTCTACTATCCCACTCGCAGATGAAATATGTCTATCTGGTGTATCCACTTTGTTGGCCTAGACGAATGGATATGACTTTAAAATCACCGCATATCATGTTTTCATTTTTCTGATCTAAAACTGTTGAATATCCAATAGGAACGGACGTATACAGATCTCCATTATGAAGGAGAGCCGTATTCAAACTGCGGGTAGAGGCTTCTATAAAGTCTTCACTCGTTTGGATTATAAGTTTTAAGGCATAAAGCATTCATTAAACCTGAAACATCGATGTAAAAAGTTAATGATTCCGCCTTCGTAAAATATTTTAGAAATTCTTCCTCGCGATTCTTGTATCAAGTAAAAGTTACCTTGGGAGAAAGCGCACCTTTTTCATGTAATCTTGAAGCTAACAGCATCGACTCTTCTTTTACATTCCCTAAATCTCGATTTAAATCACTCAACTCAGCCTGATTAAACGTACAAGGTTTACCAAACGATGAGCGCAATTCGTTGCTACTATAAACAAGTTCAAATTCATTTTCATCTTTGTTATCTTTGTATCTTTGTTCTTTTCCTTCTTCTGCTTCCAATTTGATTTTTGGAACAGGAATGGGATTTGAAAGCATATGAGGAGTATGTCTTGTAATAGATGGTACGTTTGCATATTTAATAGTGTGTTTATTTTTGGTATTGAAGTTACTGATTCGTTTACCACCGCGGCATAAACAAAAATAGCAATCATCAACGTAACTTTTTGGTTCTAGCCATACTATGGAAGTGCCAACTGGCATACATTTTCTTTTTCCATTTTTCAGTGTGTTAAACCTATTCTGCACGTATGGCAAATCATGTTAAGAATCTAAATCTTATTTAAATTGGTCAATTCATTATTAAAATATACGTTATACAATAATTTGATAGACGTTGTTATGGATTTACGTAGTTTAGTTGGAACGAAATCACCACAGACATAACAAAACTTCTGCGGGTCATTCACACACTGTCGAGAAGACATTTTTTATTAAAAATTAAGTTTTTGACTTAAAATAATATTTTAAAAGATGTTTAATACGAAGTGCTAAGAAAATGTCTTGATTATGTTAATGTTATCTGAAGATTTTCAGTTTCTATACGAGTATTGATAGGAACAGAGCTAGTATTTTCAGTTTTCAAACTAGCTTAATATAAATGATGAAGGTCTGTCGTTCATAAAGATACAAGTATTTGATATAACGAAAAATACAAGGACAAAGATTTCCAATTTTATGGAAAATAAAATTCTATTTTAACAATTGCAAGTTTACTATTTTATGAAATGAATATAAATAAGAAGTAAAAATGAGTAAATAAAAATAAATAAGAAAGAAAAATGAAAAATAAATAAATATAATTAAGTAAGAAATAGAAATACAAAATAAATAAATAAACGCTTGAAATATACTGTAAAACAAAAAAAATTGACTTTATCTTTGCAAGGAGTTCTCGATATTTTGAATACTTATCCGTTAGCTTGCCACTCAAACACAATCTCTAACATGGATAGTAATATTTGCACTGCTAGTATAAAGTCAGAATTATATCGTTCGACTGCATCCCTTGAGATCTGCAGAGAAATAGAACAAACTTTGCTATTCCACTAGACGAAGATGGTTGCCACCTAGTGGATGAAAGGTGAACTTGTTAGAATAGTACCTGCCTCGAAGTTACCAGGCTCATGGGTCAAGAAAATTGGGTTGTAAGAGTCTCTTGCACGGCTTTAGGTGAAAGTGTTCATCGTTCAACAGATGTCTGCTCAAATACCTACGATATCAGTGGATATAGGTTAGGTATTTAAAGTTATCCAGTAATGCTTTGTCCTATAAAAAATACTATTTCAATAATCCACACTAGCCTTATATCTGTAGAAAAAACTTTTCATGGGGGTCCGTAATAGGATAATAGGATTCTGAGGTTATGGTGCTGTTTTGATAATTTAGTATCGATTGGGTGATCCAAATGACAATAAAATATGTTATATCGATTTTTTATATGAATCATCCATTATCCGGCTTTAACAAAATTGCTATAAAAGTAAACTTCAAAAGACAATATTTTGGGCAGAAAAAAAGATATTTCAAACTTAAAAAAAGGGTTTTAGAGGATATAAATGCTCCTTTAAGATAGCATACTCAGTTTTCCAACAATAAAAATTATTCAAGATGTTATTGTACCTCAAAAACAGCGAAAAACAGCATTTTTTGCACTTTTAGATTGGGATATTTACAAAACTTGATGTGATAGAGTATTTGAAGGTCAGATTTGAATTCAGCAACCTAAAATCTACTGGAAATAACTAGTCTTATATAATGAGCAAGTTTCACGTTGGGTTGTGTTATCAATAATATGATATAATGTAATAGGAAGGAATTTTTTACCTTATTTTTTTCATTTTTACAGAACAATTTTTATTTTTACCGAGAAAGTAATTGAATGTGAGCAAACGTATAAGAGAAATGAGAATCTAGTCATAAATAACTTCAGACTTATTAAGCTACGCTTACTTCCTGCTATTTTCAGTGCTATAATATAATTATGAAAAAAATCTTGTGATGCTTGTTATTAGTACATAGTAATTAATAGTAAATTCACTTTATAATGATGTTTCATGATTATAATGATTATTTATTTCTTTGTTTCAGAGTTTGACTTCAATAAAGGATTTGGGTAAGAAAAAAGTTGATGTTTTACAAGTTTTACATAGCCTTCAAACGTTAGAACTAGGTGAATGTTCAGATTTTCCAGAAAAGTTTGGAACAGCAGTATTGATTAAATTACAAAACTTGGAGCGTTTAAGGCTCGAAAAGGGACAAGGATCATGTTGTACATTTGATATTTTAGAGGGTATTTCGAAATTAGACAATCTTTCACAATTGGAACTGGTTAATTTCGATGTCAAAAGTGGGTTCGATAAATACTTAGCTGACTGCAAAAATATAAAAAGATTATTAATTATACCCACATATGTTTCACAATCCGCCACATCAAATAACATGATTTTAGCTGGTGTAACTGAATTGTCAAATAACTTGACTCATTTTGTCTGGGGCGTAACACAAGAATTATTACGTGTTACAGAGTTATTTGTCGATCAATGTAATCAAATGAGTAAGCAAATAACAGGAGATTCAATTCCGGTTCTAAAGCCAGTACCTTGCTTAAAACTTATAGAAGATATTTTAGGAGATAAAATGAACCAGAAAGGTATTTTTTCTAATCCATTAAAATAGTCAAATGAATTCAATTTTTAATATGCCATTAAAATTTATTACAGATCCTAAGCAACAGACAAATCTAAACAATCCTCAAGTTGAAATATTACCATTGCCTCATCTTCAAAAGCTGCTTTTGACAGCGTTACCTAAAACACGAGTAAAGATTTTAAAAATACCTTTTCATGCAACGTGGAGACAAAGTATTTCAGATAGTACTTCTCAATAGGGATAATAAGTTTAATAACTTTTTTGAAATACAACAAAATTATAGTACATTATGTAATTAGATTTAATGGATTATTTTATCACAAGAATACATATTTGTATACCATAAATTAACATTCGGATATATTTACTGTATAAATTTATTCATTGAAACATAAAATTCACTTCATATAAAAGACATTATAAGTATTTTGTCCAAGTGAATTATAAATTTTTTTTTTTTTTTGGTGGTAAAGTATTTATCACTTGTCGATCATTCATACCAAATTATACATACATGATAAATCATATACCTATTAGTTAGGAATGAATTAGAATATTATATATTCAAAATATTATTCAATTTGTGTATGTTTATCTCAATTAAAATTGTTAAAGTATTTTTATTATTGATTTAACATTTTTTTGTGTCTTACTAATTTTAAGTGGTAAGGGATATTTTTCTAAAATACTTTTTCCTATGCCGGTTGTCCCAATGCCCCATTCCCCACCAACCACTTTTTCTAAAAATGTATTTGTTTCATATATTTTATATATTTATATGTTCTATTAAATTATTCACGTCATTAGAATTATATATTATATATTACACATGACAGTTTACAGGCAGTTGTTCTTCGTATTGCCTTTTTCAAAAAAATTCATATAAACGTAATTTGCTTCCACGTCATGTTATTGTATAATGCATAGGTACTTTTTCCAAATTTGACGAACGGATAGGATTAGAACCTACGATACTTATTTTCCCAAGTTCGATCGCTCTGATATTTCCACTAATACTTCTAAAATACATATCAACAAATTATATTACTAACTATGTGTTACCAATATTATGTATTATACGAGGTGTGATCAAAAAGTAAGGTGAATTTTTATTTTTCTCAAAAAATATTTATTTATTCTTCATCAATTTTTATTTTATCTCCTTCAAAGTAATCCCTCTCGGATATAATGCACTTGTGCCAACGCTTTTTCCAATCCTCAAAGCATTTCAAAAAATCATTTTTTGTGATCTTGTTTAGTTCATCCTTCGATGCCGTCTTTATCTCCTCAATCGTGGCAAAACGCCGTCCTTTCATGGGCCTCTTCAGTTTTGGGAACAAGAAGAAGTCACAGGGGGCCAGATCTGGGGAATACGGTGCCTGTGGCATCGTTACTGTGTTGGTTTTAGCCAAAAATTCGCGCACAAGCAACGATGTGTGAGCAGGGGCGTTATCATGGTGCAAAAGTCAATTTTTATTTTTCCACAAATTCGGACGTTTCTGGCGGATTGCTTCGCGCAAATTGCGCATAACTTGCAGGTAATATTCCTTATTTTCTGTTCTACCCTGTGGCAAGAACTCATGATGCACCACGTCCTTGCAGTCAAAGAAAACTGTAAGCAAAACCTTTACATTTGATCGAACTTGGCGTGTTTTTTTTGGTCTTGGTGATCCAGAATGCCTCCACTGGACGATTGAGTCTTAGTCTCGACGTCATAACCGTATACCCATGTTTCGTCACCTGTTATAACCCTGTTGAGTAAATCTGGATCATCGTTGACGTCATTCAGTAGCTCTTGGGCGATGCTCATGCGACGTTTCTTTTGGTCGAAATTGAGCAATTTCGGAACAAACTTCGCTGACACTTGTCTCATGGAGCTTTTTTATCAATTTCATTTTTTACTGGTATACGGCCTTTCCTAATTACACCAGTAGCTCGTAAGCCAAGCTTTTTTAAATGAACAAGTCTGGATTTGTGTAGTAATTATCAAACCAAAGATGGTATTCTTCAATTTTCTTTCTAGAAATTGATGAAAGTAAAGCTTCGCTCATAGATAAAACAGCTTGGCTTCCTAGAGCAATACTTGACTATTCATCATTATGAGTGCCTTTGCCACTATATATGTCACAGTCAAAGAGGTATCCATGAGCACCACAAATTCCAAACTCTTTTATTCCCCATCGAGTTGGTTTATTTTTTATAAATTGTTTGATCAACAGTCTACCAAAAAATTTAATCATCATTTCGTCTATGGATAATCCTGTCTGAAAAAAACCAAACTGTTTTATATTTTTCCTAAAAATTTCTAATATAGCTCTAACTCTCCAAGCACGATCTTTTTCATTTTTATCTGTAGGTTTGGAACATTTGATTTTTTATTTGATTTTCAAAAACTTTTTCAACGACATCAATGATCTAACTACTGGGGACTCGAGTAACTCATTTTTGGACCAATAATCTTTTTCAGATGTTCTTTTGTTGAACGCAGAAAGAATAATAATGGCAACAAATTTATTTAGTTCTTCTATTGTTATATCTAAACCGTTAAATTTTGAAGCTTCAATGATATATTCTTTTATATTTTTACAAAAGAACATTTCAAATAATTCAACAGGGGTACTATTAGCAATCATTTTACGATCTTTATCTTTTAAAAAATATTTATTAGATGGAATTTCATCATACTTTTTCTCTCCATCTGTCCAATCGTATACATGATCTTCTTGCAAACGTTTCTGAGTGTTAGAGTAACTTTTTTTAACTTCATGGTACGATAACAATTTTTCAACAATTTCTTGAACATCATTTTCATCATCAGCGTCGTCATTTTCATCAGCATTATCTTCATTTTCGTCATCATTATCTTCATCACTAACATCTTCAGAATTGTTAGATTCGTTTCCAGATTCTGAATCTGAACTCTCAGGATGTGGTAGCATAACAACATCTACCGTGTTATCATTTTCAGACACTTCACAAGATTCACTTAAAAATGTAATTGGTTTTTTATTTTTATTACACCTTCTTTGAGGTAAAATGCGTTTTTTTCCAGACATAATACCAGCAATTATTTGAGAAAACCAAAATTAAAAAGAAAAAACTTATTTACAAGTATCTGCCTTTTAAGGTTTACAAAATATTTGAATGAAATGGTTGGATATCACACCACCTCAAACTAAAAATGTTAAGTTGATAAACTACACGGCATACGACAATAATAAAATCCTAAATTTTTTAAAAATATACTTTCACACAAAAAGAAATTTTGTTTGAAATAAATCCCTTCTAAAAGGCTTTCAAAATATCGCTGTAGTAAAATTGCAGGGGTAACTCGAATGACATTTTTCATAATAGCAAATGCTACAAAAAAATATCGACAATAGATATAAGATTATGATATTTTTGTAATTGATTTTTATAAATTAAAACTGAAGTTTATTATTATTATTTTATAAAACTTGCTTAGTAATGTGTTACGGCCAAGGCCTTTATTCATAACATATAGTATGTAAAATTAGTAATTTGAACTAAACCAATATTTCTAAAAATGAACTATTATAGAACTCTTCTGCTCAAAATAATGAAAAATACTTATTAAAAAATGTTATAACACATACATTTACTTAAAATTGGCAAAAATAAGCACTTCCAAAAAAAAGTATAAATATTTTTAGAATTTCGGGAAATTCAAATTTTCAATTTTCCAAAAATTTTCCAAATTATTTAGTAAAAATTCACACGTATTCCTCGACCAATTCTAAGCACTTTTTGTTCTACAACAATTTTTCCAAAAGTTGATATTTTTTGAGTAAAAAAATCATGAATTTCTAAATTACACTACGATATAAAAACCGCCATATTTTTTTTTCTAATCAACATTTTTTAATAAAGTCGAATGCGCTTGAAAGATAATTGTCCCATGTTGCGAAAAATATTATTTAGGGAGCCTATTTTAGGGTCCATTTCTTTTCAGCACAGCGAAATGTGGAGAAAAATTGAAAAAAATTTGGAATTTTTTCGAAAAAATCGGCCATATTTTGTTTTCTGTCAAGGTTTTCAAAAAAACTTGGTGATTTTTCGAAAGAGCATACACTAAAACATAAGAAAACTAAGTTTCATCCAAATCTATTGAGAATTGTACGAATGGCATAATGTCAAATCGAAGCATTGCAGCCATGGACGTTTGCCACTTAATGGGTTAATGGAGCCCAAAATTTATGATTATCATTGGCATACGCTCTTAACAATCTTCCCAATTCTTTGTGAATCCTTTCCACGATATTACTTTGTGGATTACGAATACTAGAGAATATTAATCTTATATTAGCAGATGAAAGTTTCTCTTTCCATGATTTTGCAGTGAACTGAGTACCGTGATCACATATAATTACTAGTGGTTTTCCATAGTTAGGAATATAATGTTCAAAAATCTTTTTTATAGTTGTATATGTTGTTGATCTTTTTATAGGATACATAACAACAAATTTACTAAAACAATCTATGGTTTTTGAAATATATTTAACTCCGCCACGTGAAGTAGGTAAAGGACCATAGAAGTCTAATGATAATAAATCATTTGGTTTTTCAATGAGTATTGGCTGTATTATAGATGATATCTTTTTTGTATTATACTTTGTGCGCTGGCATAAATCGTAACAATTTATGGTTTCAGCGACTTTTTTACGAAGCTTGTAGATGTAGAAATTTTCCCGTAACATCTTTGTAATTTTTCTTGATCCAATATGACCATAGATTTTATGTATTTCTTGGATTAATCTTGGAATAATTATTTCAGGTAACAATAAATTATTGTTAATTTTATCTTTTTTATATATTAAATTGTTATTAATTACACAGGCCTGCAAGGTTTTGTTCTTTTGCAACTGAGGGTCATTTCCGAAGTAATTTTTGGCGTAGAATTCGAATCCGTCATCAGAATTTCTCCATCACGTCAGGTTTTTGAGTAATCGTCCCCTAAAGGTCGAAAAAACACGTTTTTTGGCCATATTCAAGGCTTGATTACATCGTGAGTTTATATTCTTTTCAGAAACGGTTGACGGCATCTTAAAGAAGCACTCTTACCCTTCAAAACCCATTTTTCAAATTTAAGATATCATTTTTTTTCATCAAGATATCATCAATTGAAGTTTGCCATTTTTGAGGTTTCACCATGAGCTTAAAAGTTCGGCCAATTTTCCTGGAAGAATACGATATATTTCTTAGTTATTTTTTATAATGATTCTAGAATTTATTTCTTTTATTTCTTTTATTCTTAAATTTGAAAAATGGGTTTTGAAGGGTAAGAGTGCTTCTTTAAGATGCCGTCAACCGTTTCTGAAAAGAATATAAACTCACGATGTAATCAAGCCTTGAATATGGCCAAAAAAACGTGTTTTTTCGACCTTTAGGGGACGATTACTCAAAAACCTGACGTGATGAAGCAATTCTGACGACG